CCGTTTGTCACTTATCTGGCAAAACCTCACTTTTCATGCTCGGAGTTAGTTTTTGACTTCATGTGCCTTCATCTTGAGTAGTTTTCTCGAAATACATATCATTACTTTTGCAAGAAAGTACTCTGGTTACTCCCGGTGTCCATAGGGGCATGGATGCACAATTCCTCAAAATCTTTTTCTTTTCTTGGGGTTTTTCGTAAATATCTTTTGAAGATATTTTATTTTAGGGGTATCTAAGAAAATATCTTTTGGAAGACATTTTCATTCTAGAGCAGTTTCGTAGTTAACCCTTTTTGTAGGGGCCATTGTGTAATTAACAAAAGTTATTGCAAAATGTCTCGCCTAGAGCTTGGATCCTCGTACGGGATTCATTTTCACATTTCGTCGAGTCGTTGACTCTTGGAATTTCTTTTTGGTCATTTTTATCCAGTTTCAGAGTTTCTGGACCTGGTTGTTGCCGAACTTGTTTGGGGCATATCTCTCTGCTCGGGACTTGGTTTTCGATGCCATTTCTTCCGTTGCTCATATCTTCTCAATTTGAATCTTTTTCATTGGTGGAGTTTTGCCTTTCGAGCGCGTTTGCTCAAAATTCACTTTTCCGGACCCGGCGGGGCACTTTTTGAGACTTACTATAAATAGGGGACTTAAAGAAGAAAATTCAGATTTTCTTCATCTTCTCCACTCTCTTGGCCGGCAGCCATGGGAGCTCTTTGGCTACCACCCTTTCTCCTTCTCCTCCACTTGATTTCCATAGCAGAAATTATTCGGCCTTTACATTTATTGTTCCCCTTGACGTGCTCTATCATTCCCCCTTATTAGAATTCATTTCTGACCATTTCTTGAGTTTGAGCTTGAGGTCAAGTTGTGATTTTCATGGGGCTTCTTGGGTATTCATGTAGATCATGTTGTCCACGACAAAACGTAGGAGTTTTGGCGGATTCAGAACACTTTTTTTTCGGTGGGGATTTGAGATTTTCATCTCAAATTGAGGTAAGGGTGTTATAATTTACTTTCTTGCTATATTACATGCTTGTGATACTTATACAACTTGATTACATGCTTGAATCACAAAATCTAAATATTTTTTATTGTGAAGGATTTGATTTTCCCGGTTGATTATAGCTTTATTTAAACATGTAGCATGATAGAATATTACCCCTTGACATGTTGATTGACATATATTAAATCTAGATCATTTGGACAAGTATTTATGATTTTATTTAATATTTATCTTGAATAAAATATTAAATCATGTGGCCTTAACTAGCTTGAAATCAATATGTGTTAGCATATTATATTAGGCCCTAACATGCTCTTTAACATAGGTGAATTTGAGAGTAATCGGAGGTGTTTTAAAATCTAAAGATAATTAATTAAATTGATTATTTAATTTGCTCCAAGTGCACTATTCATCCCATTGGATTTCCGATTTGATATTCTTGATGTGCATACCATGTAGTTTCACATATATTAAATCTAGAATATTTGATTAGGTTTTGAAACCTTTCGTTTAATTAATTTCTTTGTTTAAGATTTAATCCTTATGATGATATACAACTTGGAATTTTAAGTGTGGCATGCTAGTAATTTAGGCCTTTGTATACTTGTTAACATATATTAAATTGGCATCATTTGAATAAGAATTGCAAATTTTATTTAATATTTTTCTTTTGTGAAAGTTTAATTCACATGGTTGTAACTTGAATGAAATAAACTTATAATGTGTTATTACAATAGGCCTTGGCATGTTCCCTAACATATGTTAATTTGAGAGCATTTGGATAAGTCTAAAAATCTAGAGATTTTAATTAAAAGGATTAATTAAAATCTATTTAATGGTTCCCTTAGCTTAATTAAGTTTTTAACTTGATATTTGTAAGGACCATGACTTATTTACTAGCATATATTAATTTGGGACCATTAGAAGTTGTTTTAGAACATTCGAATTTAAATTAGCATGATTTAATTAAAGTTCTACTTTGTTGTTCTAACAACCTAATTGAGTTTTAGAATGGATATAGGTGATGACCATGCTTTGTTGTTTAACATGTCTTAATTAGGGATCATTTAATGGAGATTTGAAACTTAGAGGAATTAATTAGGTGATGTAATTAATTTTCGTTTTTATTGCGTTAATGATTTAATCATGTGTTTGACATTGATTGTATATTTAAATCATGATTTTGGACTTGTATTGGATTCTTCAGTTTATATTTTCAATATTAAATTATATTGTTATAGTGCGTAATGAATCGCGCTCTGAAGATTCGACATTTGTTATGCCATAATAGTTGTGGACTTAATGCATATATTGTATGCGTTTCTAAATTCGGTTGTGCATGGTAGATAGTTGATATCTTGTATATACATGTTGATATATACGTTGTTGCACAACTTGTTAATTTTGGAAACTTGGGGATGTTGTTGTTTGGCTACGGCTAGGACTTGGTTCTAGTACAGGAGATTGTCCCTCTATATAGTCTAGTACGCACATAATGAGGTTACCCGTGGGCTAGTAACCCTAAAATAACTATGGTGTCGGTCTGATCCGGCGTGACGTCCAAGTATCCACTTTGTTTGATTTCACATTTCATTTCAAGTTGATAACTAGATGATGTTGTAACTTCTTGTTCCATATATGATTTCCCATTTTAAGTTTCAAGATGTTAACTTTGAGAAATCATGTTTTGATGCATTGTATTAGAAGTTCTAATGTTAATTAAAAATTGCATCGATATTGTAAATTGTGTTTTGATATTATAATATAGCTTAGGAATGATCCTATAGATACATTTTGAACATAGACGTTAGGTGGCATGACCCACTTCTGTTAATTTCATGCTTTAGATTTTAAGTTGATGGCCTTGAGAATCTACACCTTGTTGCCTTGTATAACATGCTTCTATGTTGTTGAATTGCATAGATGATGTGATTTGTGCTAGAAATGATCTAAGGTAGCTTAGGATGCTCCCTGAGTCTAACCTTTGACATAGACATTAAGTGGCATGACCCTTTTTAATTGTTGCAAGTTAATGTAAAAATCTCTAAAGAAATCAAGTCGATGCATGCTCATTCTCTACGAGTAAACTTTTTTACTCACCTCGAAATTACTGGGGGATTTGTTCAGGTACGAAGACTTGGTTCATGATGTTCATCATTGCTCGGATGATTGTAGAATAGAAGGTTTCAATTCTTGTAAAGGATGGCTCGAAATGCCATTAGTAGTCTTTTTGTCAAATGTGTATATTTTTCTCCAAACTTGTAATATGTGCTTAAGCACACTTTTTGATATTCATTCTATGTATATAATATGTGGCCAAGGGCCAAACTTCATTTGTAATCCTTGTATATTAAAAAATGATGAATTTTGCTTTTAATGTGAAAAGCATGAAAACTTGGGTTTCAATATGTCATTTTTGCACCGGTGCGTGCATTGCGTATATAATTCATCCTTTAGCATTCAATTGCCATATGTGAGGTGTGGCCAAGGACCAAACACCATTTAGTTTTTATTTTTGCATTTTAGTTCATATATTGCATTTTAGGCTAAAATAGTAGAATCCGAGCCTTTAAGGGTTCATTTTCAAATCAGGTGGTGCAAAGTGTGTTCCGACACCTCCACTAGGTCTCATTTATCTTATATGAAGTGTGACCAAGGGCCAAACAGTCATTTGAAACCATTTCCTAATTTTGGTTTTCATTTTTCCCATTTCATGTCCATTTTTGCCTTCTTGGCCGTTGGGGGGTCGAATTTTGCATCAGCGGTATTTTTAAGCCATGGACCATTGTAGCACGTCCAAATAAGTAAGTTACGTTTGCGTGCATGATCGTTTTCAAGAAAAACCCTTTCCTTTGTGATTTGAGCCTCCTAGGGATTCATTTTGCACTTTTGTTGCATAATCTGATCTAGGGGCATTCTAGACCTTTCACTTTAGTTTTATTTTCTTATTTTAATATGGTCGCTTAGAAAACATGATTTTAGGGGGAGTTTCTTTTTCGTGTTTTTTCAGAAAATGTCATCTTGATACCGGAAATCCCTCGTGAAGTTTCAGCTTCCAGTTTTCATTTAGCAGCTTTATGACCCTCATGACCAGACTTCTTGGAGGGGCATTTTGGGCATTTTACAATGAGTTTTTTACGTTTCCTTTCACATGGTCAGGTAGAAAACTCAATTTTATGGGGGGGTTTCTTCTTCGTGTTTTTCCATAAAAACTTGTCTTGGCCCCCGTTTCAAGCCTCAATTTTGGAACCTCACTTTTTTTTTTCTTGTTGTCAACTTGTGTATGCCATTGGGCACCAGCATGGGCACCGGTAGGCTCGTGCATGGGCGTCGTGTGCACCATGGCCTTCGTTGGGCCACTGCGACGTCTCAACTTCAAATCCTCGTTTCTCCCTCATTCGGACTCCAAAGCGAGTGAACTTTTTTTTGAACTTGACTAATTTTTTGCTGTCTTTCTAACGGTGTGCTCGGTTGCACCCGGATCTTCTTAGATAATTACCAATTTACCCTTTTAGCCCTAAGTGCTCGTTTTTCTTCGTCACGCCATTTCTCCTTCATCCGAACTCCGAATCATGCGATTCTTGAGTCCAACTTGATTATTTTTTTGTTGTCTTTCCAGGGGTGTGCTCGGTGGCACCTGACTTTATATTTTTCAGAAATGACCATTTTGCCCTTGGGGCTATTTTTGTCCGGTTTTCTTGTAATTCTCTTCCGCTACTTTCTTTTGAGTTCCGTGACTTCACGGGAAATCACGGATGTGTCTCGAGAATAATTTACATTCGAGGGACGTTATTTCCATGTAAAATGACTATTTAGCCCTTGGGGACTTATTTGTCATATTTTTGATCTTTTGCTTCCACATCAGTTCTCATTAGGTTTTACGACCTCGTGGAGGGTCACTTTGACTTCTTAGAGTCTTGTTTTCTATTTTCGCTTCCGCATTCGGATCCGTTATCGAGTCAATTTTTAGTTCATCACAGGACGCACTGGCTTGAAAAACCAGGGTCGTCACAACGGGTGACCCAACTTGAGAGTGATGCTCTGGGTCGTCTGCAGGCTGCTTCAAATCTATGTCCATATTCATGGCAACCAGATCAACTGGTACATCGTCCGCCGCCTGCTCTGCTGCTGCTGCCGCTCCCTCCTGCTACTCAAGCACCTCAGCTGCCTCTGCAACATCCTCCTGTAGACTCTTGATAAGAGCCTTGTAGCTCTTATCCTAGTCCTTCTTCTTGAATGAATAGGTCCTAGACTCAGTACGCTCTCAGTGCTGGAAGGGATAGCATTGGTCCCGCAATATCTGTGTAATGAGATGGCCAAATGGGAGAAACTTAGCCCGTTTGGGCTTGGCTTTACTGATGTGATCAACATATAACTTCATCATAATGCTCCAGATGAGCACAGGAATGGATAGCCAATGCCCTGTATAGAAGGCGTACAGAGCTGTCAAAAAGTCGCCGCGGCTCTGTATCTTATGGTCGGCCATGAAAACATTTTGGAATAACACCGAATCAAAGAACCATAGGTCGTCTGGCAGATAAGTGCGCGTGGCAAAAGTCTCGCCATCAGCATAGTGACCTGTAAGTGCAACGGCCATATCTGCATAAGAAGGCCTCCATAGAGTCGAATAAGCAACCTCGAGATCGGGAGGGCAGACATGTGGACATCAGCAAGATCTGGATAGAGTGTCCACAGTGATACTAATAGGGTGGCCATCAATGGTAGTCCGCAACTCCCTCAGGTTACTCGGGGCAGGTCAGAGGTTCTGGAAGAACATCCGAACCAACCTCGGGTACACTGGATATGTGATAGGGGCTAATATGGCTGAGATACCCTTCTGGTCTATATCATCGTATGCAGCTCTGGTAAGAACAAACCGGGAGAAGAAGTCTATATCAAAGACCGACTCATGCGCCACTGAAAGGCGTGAGTATCTCGGCATTGGTCGGTCTAAGTGCTGGGCTGGATGAGCTGGTGGCGGTGATGGAGATGGTATAAGCTCAGCCTCAACCTGAGGAGAAGATGATGCCTCAGAAGATGAGTGTAAGTGGCTGTCAAAAGATGTAGACTGAGGTGGAGTGGGCTCTACTGGCAACTCCTGAATATGAGAGGGCTCTCCTAGCTCCTCTGTCCTCTACCTCACTGGCCTCTGTGGTCCATGTTGCCGCTTGTAAGTTATTTTTTAAATAACTTACAATCGTTATTGTGTATATATAAATTCTCTCTCCCTGCTAGTCAGGGTTGTGTGTGGTTTCTTCTCCCCGTCGGAGTCTCTCTACTAGTCTAGGTTTTTTCTTTCATTTTGTTGTTGTTGGGTCTCTTTCTTTATTTACGTGGCTTACTCTTATTGGGTTTCTTTGATGTTTGTTCCTTCCTCGTGTTATCGTCTCTCCACAGTGGTGTTCTTATAGGATGGACTCCATACTTAGGTCCGAACAAATTTCAGGTGGATGTTCAGCTTCGATGATCTTTTGGGTCCTACGGGTTTCTAGTTTGTATGTTTTGAAAAGTGAATGGTGTCTTGGCCGATCTCCACTGTTTTTCCTTTTTGATCCAGGTATTTAGTTATTTTTTCTGGCTTCTTTGTTAGTTATACTTTTGTCTAGCCAATTGTTTATCAGTGTCGGGTTTTCATCAGTGGCCACGAGTGTAATGACCTGGTCTTTTTCCTCCTTTTCCATTTTCGGTGTTTTTCTTTTTTCGTCTTTTTTCTATTTTGTCTTTTTCTTATTTCATCTTTTAGTCATTTTTCATTTTTCCTTGCATAACCTCACTTGTTGTGCTCGGATTTGATTCCGATTTTGCATGCATTCATGATATTTGATTTCCATGATATTGGTATTTTTACTTTTCTTGAAAAGCATGCTAGATTAGTACTTTTCTTGTAAAGGGCATGAATGCATACTTTAGTGTAATTATTTATAACTTTTGGAGTTTTAGTGTAATTATGTAAAATAATTATTTTTCATTTTGGGGACCTTTTTGCAATTCATTTTGGAAGATATTTTGAAAAAGGACCATTTTGTAATTTTTGGAAAGTGTGACAAGTGTCACACTCTTATGGAGCCATTTGTTGGCATTTAGGTGAAAAGACTTGGCACCATGACTTCTTGACAATTGGTGGGTGGAGATTCATCCATGTGTTAGCCTTAGATTGGTGCACATGCAACCATTGATTGTTGACAAGTGTGAGTCTAGGATTAAGTCTTGGAAGGGGCATTGGATTAGTGACAAGTGTAGGTTCACCATTTAGTCTTGCATTGTGTGTGTGTGAGAGGTAGTGCAAGAACACATAGTGAGTGGAGGATTTCTAGCCCTTCCACTCACCATTTTTACACTTTACCTTCTTCATTTCATTATCTCTCATGAACCCTAGCAAATCCACCATTGGAGGAAAGCTTAGTTCATAACTTCTCCCTTCAATTTGGCTCACTTCCTTTCACCTTAGAGTAAAAACCTTGGGAGAGAAAAGATTCCTCTCACTCTCCTCTTCAATAACCCTAAACTTGTTTTACATTTAGAGCTTGGTTGCTTGGATTATAGAGATTCAATTCTCTATTGAGGTAGGGGTGGTAGTATGTTTATATTCTAAGTGTTTTATAGTCCTTGTGGTTTAATATATATTGTGTACATGCTTTTGATATGATAGTATTGCATATTATAGGAAACCCTTACTTCTTGACTTAGGGTTTATTGATTTAAGCATGTATGATATTGGTAAACCATGTGTAGGAGGATTATATAATTTAGTAGCATGCTAAATTCTAGAAATTTCACATGTGTTAGTGATGTGGGACACTTGTAGAATTATTGATGTTATATGCAATCTCTATTGATATGAATTGCTATATTTGTTGTTACAATAATTCTATACCCTTGTGAATTACTAATTGTAATTATTTAGGAGCTTATTGCTATGATGTTGATAATTAGTATATAGAGCTTGTTATTGAGGCATGACTTGAATTGATAAATTTGTGATATTGTATTGTGCATAATATCATGATGTGAATTTGTCATTTGGCATGTCATTCTAGATTTAAAACCCTAAGACATGGCTGTATGGTTTCAAAATACTTATGCATGGAAGGTGGTTTGTATGCCTTATTATATATATATAAGTTTTGAACTCGATATATATTTTGGAATCTCTTGCGACATTGTTACATGTGACACGGCTAAAGTTCAGCTTTAGTGCAGGAGGTTTGAGTTCTCCCCAATTGAGATAGTGCGCACTAGGGTGGTCTTCCCAGCGGGTTAATGCTCGGAATAACCGTATTGATCTTAGTTAAGTCCGAGACGTGATGTCCAAGTCTTCCATTACTTGTTTTCGCATTAAATTTCAAGTTGACAACCAATGCTTAATTGTAGCTTGAAATTCTTGTTATTGGCGAATTGATGTTGTTGAGTACATTGATAATTATTTGTGTTGCTAAAGAATCATTTAAGTTAGTTTAAGATGATCCCTTAGAACACCTCGAACATAGACGTTAAGTGGAATGATCCCTTGTATTCATCTATATTGATCTTGCAATGATATTGAAACTTTAGGGTATACGCATATGCTTCTCCTACGAGTAACTTGATTACTCACCCTAGTGGTTTGGGTTGTTTTTCAGGTAAGGAGACCATGTTCAAGGATGCTCATCATCCTTAGAAGCTTTTGAGCTATTTGAAGCATTTTTGTATATTAACATGCAAGTGTTTAGCATGACTTGACTTTTGATATCATATTTTGAATGCCATGGGTGTATGGTACTTTTGGAGCTTTAGTAGCTTTCTTGATATGTAATAACACTCAAATATTTGCTTTTTGACATTTTAAGTATGTATGTAAAGAGGCCAAGGGCCAAGCATGTCTATTTTTGTACTTAGACACTTTTTGTATCAAAGTTTTGCTTTAAATATCTCTTAATCAAAATTTGAGGTTTGAGAGGTCAAAATCTTGTAAATGATGTGTATGAGGCCATGGGCCATTATTTTGTACTCAAATATCCATAGCAAAGATGTTAGCATGTTCACATATCCATTTTTCATTGAGCAATCAGTTTTGTGCATTCATTTTAAATCAAATCATCATGGGATTCAAAGTAGAGGTTGACCTTAGCATCTTAGGCTCATAAGAGGTTCAGCAGCAGGATTTTGTGGTGTTTCGGTCGACCAAAACTCCATTTCGGTCGACCGATGTCAAATGGTTTTATGTTTGCACAGTAACATCACATTCCAGTATCCAAAAACACTTTTCAAGGGTCATTTCGGTTGACCGAACCTTTATTTTGGTCTACCGAAGCAATTGGAACCTTTTCTTCATGAATTTAGGTCTCAGTACTTTCATTTCGGTCATCCGAAAGTCCATTTCGGTCTACCGAAATAGCCTGAACCCGAGCCTTGTCTCTGTTGAGTTTCAGCACTGATCATCCGACTTCAATGGGTCATAACTTCTTCGTTTCTAATTCAAATGGGGTGATTCTTGAGCCTAAACTCAAGGATTTTGAGTCATATTTCCAATGGTATCAATACCATTCTCAAATTCCAAACACAGTGGGATTTATGTATATTTTAGTGAAGTAGTGTCAGTTTTCACTTCAATCGGGACGGGGCATTTTGTGGGATTCTTAGCCAATGCTCATGGAACCTCTTGGAATGTTTCAAAATGATTATATTAGGTTGTATTAACCTTTTTTGACTTGTTTAGACTCAAGTTTCTCCGTTTAATAGTGAATTGACCCTTTTGCCCCTTGGGTAGCAAATTTTGTCCTTTTTGACCTTTGTTTCCATTTTTGTCCTCTTTAAGTTCCGTGACCTCATGGAGGGTCACATCTGCGTCTTAGGAGTGACTCCTATCTCTAGAGACCTTGTTTTACCTTTAGCTTCCGCATTTCGGATCTGTTGTCGGATCACTTTTGGTTCATCACTGACGCACCGGGTTAAAAAACTTGGGCCGTCACAATGGGTTCTGGGGTAGGGGTGGCTATTGATACTGATTATCTGTTGGTGGGTTCACTATTTGGGAAGGGTTTTTTCGGTTCTTGTGGTGCGTTGTTTTCTTGGTCCTACATGTCGAAGTTTCTCTCACATTTAGGGTTGTTGCGCGTTGGACGTGTTTATGAAGTAGGTTGGCTACTCCTTTCTCTTGCTTTGCTCCATACTGCCTCTCCTCCGGCCGCTATTGACTATGGGTCATGGATTGTTGTTGCTGGAAAAAATTATGAGGCTGGACATCATTTGGAGCATAGGTTTTATGATGTTTTCCATTCTCTGTGGTGTTTTATTATTCCAGACGTGGCTCTTCCTGCTGGTGGTTTGTCGGTGGTTGGTCTGATTGGTCGCCGTACAACCCTTGGTCCCCCTCGTTTCTTTCGTCGTCTCCTGTAGCGTTTGACTTTGGCTTCCGGGTCAACCTTTTCTTTGTTAGTGTGTGGGAACAATGCAAGGCTGGTTTTTACTAGAAGGCTGGGTCCACAAAATATCAATCCCTCTAATGTCATGTTTTTGTCCAACATAGGGTTAGAAATATGGTTAGGTGTCTATGGCATTGCCGGCACGCAGAGATGCTACCATACACTTCTGGAACTTGCTTCCTTCTTTGTGTGGCTGTTATTACAGTATGGGAATTATTACACTGGGTCCCATGGTTTATTCCTATGGTGATTTGCTTTGTCAAGTGTCTTTTGTGTGTTTGCTCATATCTGTAAATTTGATAGGGATCGTCATTGTAAGTTTGCGGTCGTGGGTTTTGTTGTTTTTGTTGTGGTGCTATGGTTAGTCAGTGGTTTGTTTTGGTTGTGTTTGTGGTCTTATTTCTTGTAGATGCCGTAGGGCTTCTATTGTCAGGAAAAAAAAAAAATCTATATTCAAATTCTTTTTTTCTCTATAAATATATATATACACACACACACACACTAAGCCATGTCCTTTAGAGTGTCGTTGACGTGTTCGTTC